ATGAACTGGGCTTCCCTGTAAAGATTACAACTTTGGAAATCCTCGGGCAGTTCTACTCTGTCCTATAGGGTCACTCTGAGTTGGAACCAGCTCAACGGCAACAGTTTTGGTTTTAGGTGTTAGTTCTTACAATATAAAGAGAAAATCAGCAGAAGAAACATGCAGGGAGAAATGAATTCACAATGGAAAGGAATACAAATACTTTCCTCTTTGGCAGGGCAGAGAAGCAAAAGGAAACTGGAATTACAATCAGTTACACAGGTCATGAAATAACCTTACCTAGTCTTTCTCACTAGGAAAAGGAAACTGAAAGTGATAAATCAGGAATTAGACTGAATGAAACCAGAGAGTCTTTCAAGCTAGCTTTCTCCTCTCCCTTGAAAGTCTTTCCTCAAATAAACCACAGAGTAAATACTATGAGGAGGCTTGTAATTTTATTTCCATCTCCCCAAATCAGACTTTGTCAGTGATCCTGAGCTTAACTATGATAATTCTATGGTCAACATACTGAAGAATGGTCAAGCTGTTTTCCAGTGACTGAACATTTACAACACTTTCTTCACATCCATGTCAACACCTGTTTGTTTTGTTATTATTGTCATTCTAACAGGGATGAGGTGGCTTTTGAAGTAGCTCAGGCAGTTTGTGAGAAACCCTCCCAGGCCAGAGCTAACCAGAATCAAATCAAAGCGGCTTTGCTTCTAGTCTAAGTCCAGGTAAAGCTAAGAAATGCAAACACTGCCACTCTTGCTACATATACAACACAAGGCTAGCAGCCAAAAAAAAAAAAAAAAATTCAATGTTGCCAAATGTTTTTAATGAGTTACGGATTTTTTCTGTAACAACTTGACTTTTGGCCAGATTGAAAGAAGATAACGAGTTTTGGTGAGGGTGCTTTCAGTCCTGGTAAGTGTTGTACAAAGCAATTTTGCTATTAGAACCCCTAATCTCTCTGAAGAGGCTGAGAATTCTTAACCTCTGTTGTTTACAATCTGAAAACAAAGAAAGTGAAACATCTGGGACCACAGAATATACTTACCATCCTGCTCAGAGCTTGTGAATAAATTACGTCACCTCGTGAGGCATTCAGAGTGGCATGGCAGCTCAGAGTGACGGCCCTTGGTAGGGTGTGTTTTCATATAAAAACTTAATAGATATGATAGCAATTTTCTTTGTGAGTAAATTGGTCTCTGAATCATACTCAAAGAAGCTAAGACTTTCTCTCCATATGATTTACTGCTAAGAAAACGCAATGAGTAGCATTTCACCAATATGGAAATGTTTCTAATAGAATATAAAAACCTGTTAAGTAATTTTCCAGTACATTAGGCTGAAATTGCTTAAGATGAGTATTTCTTTCTATGGCAATCAAAGATTACATAAATTGTAGTCTCCTAAAACTCCTCTGTGCAAAGTGCTGGTAAAATCTGGCCTGCTATTTTTCAGTCATTTGTGTGTGACCAGGAACAGTCAACGCTGCCTCTCAATTATCTGGGAGAGGATTTCCTAATTTGAAAGTCGCCCATGCTTTCATTACATGAGAGCCATTCTTTTCTGCAGCTTGTACAGGCCTCACGATGAGAAAGACAACCCACCAGGTTTCTCTATAGTGGGTTTAACAAAGCATGAGAGGTTTAAGAATACTATTTTCTCTGGGTAAAAATGGCAAGTCGTCATTTACAGAGAAGCATCACTAACTTCTTGTCTACTTCTCTGTTCCAACTTTTTATTGATTTAGAGATCAAAAAAGACCAGGGCACTTAAGAGCTTAACAAAGTGGAAATGCTCAGATTGAGAAGGTACTTTCAGAAGTATAAATCAGCTATCAACCACACCTGACACTTCCTCCCAAACTAGGCTTGCACATAATTTTTCATCTTTTATCAATTCTGCTCTGAAGTTGACACTTAATAAATAATCATTAAATGTCATCTTAGAAAAACTGAGTCTAATAGGTATGGCTGGAAGCCATCAAGTTACAGTATGTATGAAACAGGCAAAAAATGCAGCCAGAGTAAGATCTAGAACACTCTGAATATAAAAAGAATTCTATACAATGATGGTTCCAATTACTTTTAATGCCACATAACAAGGCACTGTTATAAAAAAAAAAAACACAACAACAACTGTAGGGCTCTGTTGTTGTTGTCAGGTGCCATCGAGTCGGAACCGACTCATAGCGACCCCATGCACTAGTAATAGGTATAAGACTAATAACTAAAACCAACCCAATAGACTGACTTACAGCAACCCATGTGCTAGAGCAGATGTACACTTCGTTAGGGTTTCAAGACTGTGCCTTTTCAGAAGCAGATCTCCAGGCCTTCCTCTAGGTAGGTTCCAACCACCAACTTTTTAGCTGTAGGCAAGCACTTAACTGTTTGCATCACCAAGGTCTTGTAAGTCACAGAACACGAAGGCAAAGCACTTTGGACCAGGCAGCCCCTAGTTTGAATCCAGCTCTTACTGTGTACTAGCTATACAACATCGGCTAAGTTACAGAGTATTAGTTGGTTTTCTTGCCTGTAACATGGGATATTACTACTTAACTTTGCAAAGTTGTTTCAAGGAGTTAAGGCAGGAAATGTATCTGCTCATTAGACCTTTAAAAAATAGTACCTACTTATATCAATGATCACATCATAGTCCATGTATGGACCCACACTTCAGTACTGCTGCTGAGTCTCCAGCAATGGGCGCTGCAGGAACAGGCAGTTTTGCCTTAAGTGTACACAGGTTGTGTAAATTCGTTTATATTTTTCAATGTTAATCATATCATCTTTTCAGTACGGCTAGTGTCTCACATACCAACAAGTCTTCTTCCGGGGTTCTGAGCTTACATGTGCCCTGCCCATTCTCCGGAGAAGAACATTCTAATTCCTCATATTGATGTTGGTCTTTTTTCACACCTCCACAAACTATAGCATTGTACAACATTAAACAATTTTCAAGTACTTTATGGAGAGTCCTCTTACAGTTCTGTAGGATAAGTAGTAGACTGCTAACCACAAGGTCGGTGGTTTAAACCCACCATCTGTTCCTCAGAAACCCTATTTGTTGTTGTTATATGCTGTCGAATTGCTTCTGACTCACAGTGACCCTGTATACGGTTTCCTAAGAGTAGCTGGTGGGTTTGAACTGCCAACCTTGTGGTTAGCAGTTCAGTGTTTATCCTACAGCACTATGAGTCAGAACAGACTCGATGGCACGTTGCAACAACACAGTACTGCCCTCTAGCGATAGAAATAATTTTGCAGTTATCAGTTCAACTGAGCCTCTTAATGAAAAAAATCAAATAAAACCAAATTTACATCGTTACTGATCCACCATCAAAATACATATGTATGTATTTAACAGACAATGCAAGTTGATCCCACAAATTATACATGATCTTTCTTTCCTGATCGAAACAAAGAGCTGTTTGTGGTCAGGGCTACCATCTAAAGCCACAGAGCACATGTGGACCCCATGTAGACTGTTACAGAGCTTGTCTTAAAGGTGCTAGCTGTTTTGGAGACAAGCATTTAGTACCAGAAGACAGTTAGCTTTAAACTGAGGAAAACTTCCATCTCAGTCACGGTGGAGGGTGGGGAGGAGGAGGAAGGCAGCATTAACAGTAGCTATCCTTTACGGATTAGGGTTGTGCGTTAGTTCTTTTATCTATCACCTTCAACCACAATTCTCTGCGGTAGGTGTTGCTAACCCCATTTTAAAAATGAGACAGAGTGTAAACAACGAGTCCCAGTCTGCACATAAGCCTTTCTCTAATACAGGGTAACAAATTACAGAAGACTCTAACCCAGAAACTGTCAAAGAACATGGCTTCAGAATATTTATTGGTAAAGGGTATGTATTCAAAGACAATTACAAATTCAGGGAGAATTTTATTCTACACAGTTAAAGGTAGATTTGTTAGCCAAATGGAAATCTCACTAGGTTTGAAATCCTAACAGTAGAACCTTTGGCTGAATGATGACTTTGCTATTTTCTGAATTTAAAAAAATTCAGACAGAGGATGATTGTATGTGTGTGTCTCTGAACCGTGGAGTCAAAGTGAAAAGTGGACATCTGAACATTCTTCTACCTACTCACCCGTCCCCAGTACAGGTTTATCAGCTATTTGTTGATACACAGCAGCACTCCCCGTTTCCCCTGTGGGCTCTTTAACAGCAATAGTATTGCTGCCTGATCCTGCAGTTCCATATTTCAGGATTTAGGAGCTTCTGGGACCATGACTTTAACCCGGCCTTCCATAACAATTTTTTTGCTTTCTATGACAGAACATGACACTGCAATCAGAGCAATGGACCGCCTCAGCTTTTCCACTTCTGCAGCAGCTGTAACAACTTCCCCAACATACAAAGGGGCTGGGAAGGTAATTTCCTGGGAGAGAAATACACAGCCTGGTCCTGGCATTTTAGTACCCAAGAGAGCAGACAGAAGTCCATTGATCAAAACTCCATGCACAATTGTCTTCCCAAACTTCGTTTGTTGTGCAAATTCTTCATTTAAGTGCAAAGGATTAGCATCCCCTGTTAATTCTGCAAAAACTGCCACATCCCTCTGTGTGAAGGCCCTGCTGAGTTCAGCCCGGTCCCCAACTCTGACATGCAGTTGTTGAAGCCGCTGCCTTCTCAACACTGACTGGTTCTGGCAGATTCTCTTCTGAAGCCCACCCCACCAGAGGCGATGGCCAGAAATCACTGAGAACATCTTCAGCGTCCACTAAGTCCTAAGAAGGGGCTTCTTGCCTGCTTCAGTGTTCATCAAACACTATGCTGGTACCAAACGTTGTTTTGAGAGAGGGTGAGTATTCCTGAAAACGAAGATTATTCAGTCTAGCACTAGTTCCCTACTATTACCAGATAATGCAAGAAGAAATGGAGAAACCTACAAGAGAAAAGAAAAATGTTAATGCACTATTGTTGCGGTTATTATGTGTTGTTGTGTTCTATAGGGCTTCCACGGAGCGAGGGTGAGGGGTTGGAAACTATACTGAAACACAGGGCAATGGATAGATGGAAAGTAGGAACATGCCCAGTTTATAGGATAAACCAAGTTGATATGGTAGCATTTTAAAGAGCACCTTAGGATAAACCTCAGAAAAGCATTGTAACACATAAGGCACTACACTAGGCTTTAAGCTTTCAATGAAATTTAAGATTACTATAGGAGCTCCACTGTTATATCCCTACATTTCTCCCATTCAATTTAAAATCTAAGTGTGTTTGTCTCCCATACTTGGAAGCCCAGAAGCCCTGCTCAGCTGGATTTATGAATGAAAATACAAATAGGACACTCATTTAAAAGCAGCTGATTCACCACCACTCAGCCTGGTTTGGAATATATGGAGGAATAGTCCGTCTTCACCTGAATCACTCTGAAAGCACATTTTTTGCCTTGATAGGATCCTAAAAGGGTCAAAGAGCTCCACAATTTGACAAGACCACTGTGGAAAGATCAGAAAGCATAAAGTTAAACATGTATCTCTGCAACACTGACTGCAACATCTCCCTAATAATTGTGTTTGTGATGGTCCAGAATGCGATTGCTCTTTACCAGAAAACTCAACTTAAATACGAAAACCTTAAAAGCAAAAGCATAATGTGCAAATGGCAGAGAATAAAATGAACCTCAAGAACGAATATTTCTAAAATGTACATTTCTGAGTTCATGACCTGGAAAATTACACTTCAGTTAGGTGCGGTCAAGTTGATTTTCAACTCATAGCAACCCCGAGTGACAGAGCAGAACTAGCCCACAGGGTCTTCTTGGTCATAATCTCCAGAGAAAAAAATCACAGAGCCACTGGAAGGGTTACAAACCACCATTCTGTTGGTTAACAGCTCAGCACTTAACCATTGGGCCACTAGAGCTTCTTGGAAAACTCCTCAGATGTAACCAAATCGCAAGTCGTGCCCTCTTCAGAATCTAAGCTTCTGGTGGGTGACACTCATATTCTCCCCACTTTACCCTAAAGCTGCACAGAGTTGACAATGACAGGACTCTTCGTTCTCAGAAGAGAGTATTTTGGCAGTGTTTGCCCATCTGTTTGCTCTGTTGTACCAGAATTGTTCCAGTCATACCTGCTGCCTATTCTCAAGATGGCTGATAAGGTCTTCTCTTCATATGTCAGGACGTCCAAAGGCAAGGCAGCACCAACCTGCACACGGAGAAACACTACTGTCAGACAAGTGTCACCACTGCTCTTGAGCAAAGCCTATCAACTTTGAGTTTTTTCTTCACAAAATAAGGATGCTGTTAAATGGTGCTGCAGTGCCTGGCTCGGAGTTGTCTTCTCACAGCTCCCTCCGGTCTACATTATCCTTCTTCACACTACTCAAGTCTTGTCACCCTTTTCATCTGTGTTTAAATTGTTATCCCTGACCCCCAGGATTAGGATCAACCCCAAAAGGATCTTGTACTTACTCTGTTTTCCTTATAAATGTACGATGAGGCAAAAGCTGTATCTGTTTGTTTACAGAGATATCTCCAGGGACCAGGTGCTATTCCTGGCACATGCGATAGGGCTTCAAAAAGTTTATGGAAAAATTCCCTTTTTTTTCCCATTAAATTTT